TTTGTGTGAAAGATTTGAAGCATGCCGTAAAGAGAATGGTGTTAAAGACGCATCTTTTTTGCAATAATACTAAGACGCTTGATTAATTCAGAGTGTTTTTCAGCGCTTCATCAGCTTTGTTTTAAAATGTAAAGGTGGAGCCTTGAGGTTTTTTTCAGCCCTCCCCCCCTTGGGACAACTCAGTCAAATGTAAACAAGAGGTCTGAAACTCAAAGGATAACCCCAGTTGTTAACCCCTTAGTGACTGACAGGGGGGCATCGCTCATGAGCTCAGCTGCATGGCTAATAGCCCAATTAAAAGCATACCATACCGTACATTATCCTAGGGGGAATAAAGACACAGTAGATACAGCGGTGTATGTTACGTGCTTGAGCGCACACAACCGTCTCTCATGCATATTTCGTCCGTTTCACTTTTGTCTCCCCTTTTTGCTCATTCGTACACACACACTTACCTAATTAACGTCTTCTCAGATTCGGCCGTGTGTGCTAAGCACCTCGCTGAGAGTGGTCCTCCTGGGTGACCTGTGAACTGAACAGGGGCTGCGCTCTCTCTCTCGCTGCTTAATGATGAGGTTATGGTGGGTGGTATTGGATGAGAAGGCCATTACTTTATTCCTGACCGTCCACAGAGGGAGCTGGGAGGCGGTGGAGTTGGGGGGGTGGGGGGCCAGTGGACGAGAGCTGAAAGTTCATGTACAAATATGCCTAATTATTAGTTTGTTTGTTTTGTTTTTTTTGTTGTTTTTTTTTTCCAAGAACAATGTGGTTTCATACAGTAATCTTAATTTACATTTCGCCGTTGCTCCACCCTCATCATCTCCGTCTGTCTGTGGGCGACCTGTAGAGGCTCACCTGCCGTACTCCCACACAGCCGACAGATTCCAGCAGGCCTAGTCCTCCGACGTGTGAACACGGTAAACAATTATCCGTCTAGCCCAGAGCTAGCTCCAGAACCACCGCGCAACCACCCCTGCTCTTCCCCCATCCTCCTCTTTCTTTCACCCGCTCTCATCTTTCCTCATCTTCTCGCGAACTGCGGCTTAAATAGAATGTTAATTTGGACGGAAGATTTTCAAAGACGAGCCACTTCCTTTTCATCTTAGCGTGCACCACAAGTTCACCAACACAAAATCGACGAGCTCTTACGAGAAGGAAGTTGTTGTTTTTTTGGGGGGTTTTTTACTCCCTCTTCTCCTTTCTCTTTCTATTGTCTCCTGTCTTGTCTCTAAAAAAGACATGAGAGATCGGTAAGAAAAAAGCTGGTGACTGCTCGCCGTCCAGATTCTGTTTTTACAGTGAAATGTTTGTTATGAGAGCTGCCCGACCAGTTCAACGTTGACTCCTTCGTTCAGGTTTGTGGAGTCCCAAGTAAAATCATCACGTTTTTTTTTTTTTTTGTTCTCCCCCCTTTTTCGACAGCTGATTGCAGAGCTGCAGACATCGGTATGCGACTCTAAAGAAGAGGCTGTTCGCCTGAAGCAGGCAATGGAGAAGCAGCTGAAGGAGGCCAATGCTCGGTGGGACGAAGAGAGACAGGCGATTACCCACGATGCCGAGCAGGCCAACAAGGTTTGTGCTGGCAACTTCTTCGCAGTTGCGTCTGATCCAGAGATGTCCCAGTCAGGATATGTTCTCACTGATGAAATGAAATGACATCAGATTTAGATGGTGCTTTTTAACTCTCAAAACAAAGATGCTTTACAATGAAATCAGTCATTTCCATTGACACACGCATTCTCACACTGATGATGCAAGTTACCAGATTATATTCACAACTGCCCTGGGGCAGCCTGACATAATACAGGTTAAGTACCATTTTTGGACATTTGCAGAGACTGAGCCCTAATCTGATGCGACATTAAATTGATTAAAATCATGACATTCCCTCCATCCTTTCTTGTTTGTATCCTTCCTTGAATCCTGTCCTGTGTCTACCATTTCCTTTCTCCTCTTTCTGCCTGTCTTCATTTTTTTTTACTGAACTCTTTGTTTTATCCCATATGCCTTTCTTTTCCTTTCTCACATTCTTTCCTGAGTTTTTCCTTCCTTCCTTTTTTCACAGGGTCACTCATTTTGTCTATCTGTGTCTTTTCTGAGTTGTCCTTCATGTGTCTTGCTTCATTTATTTATTCTCTGTGCCCTTCCTTCCATCCATCCATCCATCCATCCATCCATCCATTTTCTGTACACCCTTGTCCCTCAGTGGGGTCGGGAGGGGTGCTGGTGCCTGTCTCCAGCTAACATTCCGGGCGAGAGGCGGGGTACACCCTGGTATGCCCAGTCTGTCGCAGGGCATGCCCTTCCATCCTTCTTTCCTTACTGACTTTTCCTTGATTTTTCAACTCTTTTTTTCTTTCTCATACCACTCCTTCTTTTCTTCTGTCCTCCATAGTGTCCTTTCTTTCTTCTGTACTTCAATGCATCCTTCTTGTGTCTTTCCTTTCTTGTATCCTTTTCTTTTTTCTAGTTTTCTTTCTCTCTCTATTTCATTTTTTCCTTTTATCTTTATTTCCTAATTTCTTATGCCGTTTTTCTCTTCCCTATTTCTGTCATTTATTGTACTCTTCTTTTCTCTTGTCTCTTTCTCATTTTATTTCTGTGTCTTAATCCCTTCCTCGATTCCTTCCTTCATTATGTCCTTCCTTCTTGTCATCATGTTCGTTCTGCAGCTTCTGCAGGTTCTATATTTCCTTAACTGTGAAAATCATTGTGAATTTTGGAAAACAAAAAAAAGCTATTGTTAGACAAAACAATAGTTTTGTGAAAGAGTTTTTTAAGCAGAAAAATAATGTGAAATGCAGCTTTTCAAGCCAGACCTGCAAAATGCAACTGACTTCATTGCTTGCTGATTGTGCAACAACATGTATTAGGGTTTGAATTTCGTCAAGCAATACTGATGCCTGTTCTTTTTGGGTTTAGGGTTGCATCAGAACATCCCTAAATTTCTCAAATAGAAAGTGCAAAGTGTCGCTGTGTGCTTCTTCTCTTTGTTGTTTTAAGTAAACAAATTTATCAGCTCATCGTAAACGTCCATAATCTTTTAAAATAATATATTATCATTGTGTGAAGGGTTTCATTAACATGAATCTAAATAGTTTTACAAGTCAGCTTTCTTGTAACCTGAGTTGGCGTGAGGCTATTAGCCTTCTAGGTGTTGCTTCTTGTGTTTTCATATGTATAGTTGTGGACATTTACCCTCAACTGTGTCAAGTAGGGGTTTGTCTGCAAACTTCATGCTTTAAAAAAAAAAAAAAAAAAAAAACGTCCTGTCTGGGTTTGACTTTAATAGAGTAGACACGGGTCACTTGTTCTTTTGTTAGAGCCCACTCACTGTTTGCATGTGCTTTGTCGTTTTTATGGCTAGTTTCAAACTCCATAGTGTCTTTAAGTGTCTGAGTGAAAGTTATATATCCGCCTGCTGCACCCCGTGCCTTGATCATCACCGTTACTCTGTTTTACAATTTAACTTCACACTCGGACTTCAGTCTTATAGGCTGTGACTGTTTATGTCCTAAAACACAACCTAATTCCCCTTCAGCCCCTTTTAAAATGTATAGACAAAGCAGCAACCAGATGAGTTTTCGGACATAAGGTCCTTTATTGTGCATAAAGCAGGCTGGAAGACAGTTGCACTGGCAGTTGATTGGGTGTGGCTCCCTAAATAAAGAGTTGTTGTGTCTGGTCTGGGATCAGTACATGTTTCCAAACACAACTTAGTCTGTTTGTGGCCGCAGCTGCCTTGTATAGGAAGTAGGCAGGTTTGTGAGCCGACCCTTAGATCTTTGCTCCTTGTCCAGAGTTTGCTTTTTTCCACAGCCTTTCATTTTACTCCACAACAGAAAGTAACAACCATATCCCACACATAGGGAAGGCTTCTGTTTTAATCTAAGTATGTACAAATGCAAAGGATTCATCAGAAAAGCATTATTCTGTGACAGCCAGAGGCAATTGCTTGTTGAAGTATAAAGTCACAAATTTGACAGATTTTCAAATTCAAAAATTTGTTTAGATATAATTAGTGTAGTAGCTTCTGTAACTTTATTTAATTGATGACAATCAATACAATCAAGATATATATTCCTGTCATATTATTAATTTAAAACCCTTTTCTTATGCTCAATTAAATTCTGCTGGGGCATATTGAGTTCACCAGTTTCCTGCACAACACTCAGCCCGTACTTGTTTTGGTTTGTAACTCACAGTTTTTATCATTGCACTCACTTTGTGCTATGGGCTGCAAAACTCGTAGTATTCTGCCACCACCATGCTTGACACTTTCGGCAGATGTTTGTGTGGCAATACATAGATTGAGGATTACACACTTGGGAAATGAGATGAGCGGTTGCACAATTTACATTGTTTGTCACACCAACTAAGGCCAACTGAATGCATTGTACTGTTGAGCAAATTCTTGTGTTTCTGACACTTGAAGGGATTACCAGACATAACAGTTGATGGCAGTAATCCACCAATTTATTGTGAAAATGTTGAGAGGAAAAGAGGATGAGGAGGAAAAGGTAAAGAAATGTAGACGACAGTTAGCTTGCTGCTGATGTTGTCTTCGTCTTTCGATATTTTTGTCCTCCACCCTGTTTTTTATTGGCTGTAACACTTGCTTGCAGTTGTATCACTAATCAGCTCCCATTGTGTTTGGTAGACTGCCCACTAAGGTCAGTTCTGTTGCTTTTTCTCACATTTGCAGATATTTTTCTTTATCCTTCGCAGCAGGGCTAACTAGGTAGCATCCCCCAATTAGAAAAGAGAAGTGCTGAGCTGAACAAGATGGCAGTTGGTGTTAGTTCAGTATTTGGAAGCGTGGCCAACGCACACTGAACAGCTTTGTTCACTTCCTCCACTGCCATTGTCATGATCTGTGTTTATTTTGAGTTTTTCTATGTTTTCCTGTTTCCCTGTGAGTCTCTGTCCTGTCCTCCCCGATTGATCCCCAGGTGTGTCTCGTTTCCTTAATTACCCCGTGTGTATTTAAACCCACCTGTTGTCTGTGTTCCTCGTCGGGTCCTTGTCGTTTGTCAATGTCTAATGTCTCAGTTTTGTATGTTCGCTCCAGTAGAACTGTTTAGTCCTGGATAGCGTTAGCTCTCGTTTCAGTCCTGTGTATCAGTTGCTACCGGTATTTGGCTGTGTGCCTGTCTTTCTGCCGTGCTGCCTGTTTTTGGACTGTGAGCATCATCATTAAATATATTCATCTTCTTCATCACCATAACCTGGGTCTCAGCGTCTCTCCTCACCACCTACAACCCCACTTCATGACAGCCATTGCAGAAATTACAGGCAGACTACAATTCTAAAACAGCACAGAAAATCAGTGTCATTGTTCACACTCTTATTGCTTGTAGTCTACACTGACTACAAGCAATAACACACACATTTTGTCTTTTGTGTCATAAGCTGTTACATTTCTCTTGGCATCAGTGTTATGAGCAGACAACAGCTTTCATTATCTGTGTCTTCATTATAGCGATCCCCTTGTGTTAAACGCCAGCTAATGAGATTCCAATTAATGCTTGAATAATTTAGTGAAGACCAGACTTATGTGTGGTGCGAGAGAGGGGGTTGAGATGACCTAACAGGTAATAAAGAGGAGAAAATAAGGAAGTTACAGAAAGATTTAAAGCATCAAGTAGCTAAAGGAAAGAGGCGAGGTGACAAACAGTGTTTGAGACTAAAGGCAGGGGGAAAGAGCAATGAAAGGATAGAGGAAGTGTAGAAGTTGAGACAAAAGGTGGGGAAAGAAAGGAGCGGCGGAGAGCTGTCAGTGGGCCATCGGAGTTAGTGTGTCGCCTGCTGACATTGTTTCCACGCTGCTCACTTCAAAGGCCTCGGATTATGAAGAGAGCGAGGGGCTTCAGACAATAGGGGGGGAAGAAAATAACATCAAAGTTAGCCGCACATTTGAATTGGGATAATCCCGAAACAGTTGCTCTGAATGCATGCTGCACTGGATCAGATGTCCTTTCCCCCCCCCTCTCTTTAGCAGCCCCATTCTGTCGTTTCTAACCTGAATTTAGCTCCCTCTGTGGCTCTGCTGCTGCTGGACCTCTTAAATGTGGGTGTTAGCTGCACAGACCTTTGCGCATCATTAAAGCCCTTTTTTAGTTAATCGGCAGTAAAGTTAAGTATGCTCATTATCTTAGTTTTTTGTATGCGTAATGTTATTACTGGAGGAACACATTTTTTTGATAGTTATTGCAACGGTTTTCTTGTCTCCATTTATTACACTTTTTGGAATGATCTGTTCATTCGTAAGTATTATGATCATATAGGATATTCCTCTGGAATTGCTCTGTTGGGAATGTATAGGGGAACAAAAATATACACATACAGTTGAAACTAGATATTTACGTATTAGTGATACACCAAATAAAAGGACACATGCACCTTTTTTCTTGCTGTCTGAAGTTAAATCAGACCAAACGTATCTTGTTCTAGGTTAGTTAGAATCACCAAAATAATTCCCATATTCTAAATCCCAGGAAACCCAGTGAAAACATTTTTTTTCTGTGAATTCAAAAGTTTCCATTCAAAATGATTACTTTCTCTTTTAACAA